TGTTTTCATTTTTGTACATATTTCCGATATTAACTCGTTCACTTGCGGTTCTTAGGGAGTTCTTGCAAAAAGAAGGTCAAATTTCTAGAGAAACCAATTTCCCCTTGCAACTGAGGTTGCACGTAGGGTTGTTGCTGCTCCTCTGCACTATGGAGGTGCTAACCGAAATAAGATGGCTAACTGGAATAAACCAAGGTATTATGTTTTTCTTTGATTGATATGTGCACACATGTTATGCATCAGAACATGAGAGAAATTTGAGGCTGAATATGTTAACTTTGAGTGACATGGTTGAGAGTTGTGGCTAACTTTATTTGTAAATCGATGCATCATTGCAGGTAACCCATGGTCCATTTGTGATATTGATGACATCATAAATGTGTCTCCCATTTATAAGATACTTTTCCTTCACAAATGGAGTTAGTTTGATATTTTGAATGAGTTGAGAGGCAGAAATCAAAACGCAGAAATCAAAAAGCTAAGTTTCGTTTACCTCTTATCACGATTGTTCTGATATGTTATGTTTCTGGTTCTTATCTTCTTCTTTCTTTTCGATTTGCAGGTCAAGGGAGGTGATGGCCTTCGAAGGTGATGTAACGGCGGCTCGGAGATGCGTTTAAGGGAGGTTAACGGCGGCGCGATTTAGGGTTTCAGATATTGAAACCCTAAATCATATTTTCTCCTTTTCAACAGCAAGGCTCTGTACTCCTCTAAGTTTTTTTTTCTTTTCTGCTCCGTCTTCAGATCTTCCCCCCTTTTCTGTATTCTTCTTTAGCTATTTATAGGGCTTAGGGTTTCAGATTTTGCAAAACATCGTTACAAGTTTGATTAGAGCTTAGATTTAGAGTGATTAGGAAAATTAGGGGTTAAAATCGTTTGTAATTGATTCGATTTTATAATGTATTAATTTTATTTTATTTGTTCTGTAAGATTTGATTTATTTTCTATACATTCTGAGATTCATTTGTAAAAAACATTGATTATATTTATTTTAGATCCCAACAATGTTTGTTGATTGTTTTATAAAAAAGCGTTGTTAAAGCCTACCTAAGACAACGCTTTTCCAGAAAAAAGCGCTGCTAAAAGAAAACTTATGAGAGCGCTTTTCCAGAAAAAAGCGCTGCCTTAGGTAGACCTATGAAAGCGCTTCTTCATAAAAAAGCGCTGCCAAAAGCCTACTTAAGAGAGCGCTTTTTAGAAAAAGTGTTGTATTAGGTAGACCTACGAAAGCGCTTTTTATTAAACAAAAAGCGCTGCTAAAACCTATAGCAACGCCACCTTAGAAAGCGCTTTTAAGCGCTTTTAAAGGCATAAAAAAGCGCTTTCGTAACTTATTTTTGGCATAGTGAATTATATTCTAACTCAATCTAACAACTTATGATTCGATAAATAACCAACTAACTAACTATCTTAAATTAGCTAATATCTCCACAAATCAAAATTCAATTTTTTTCTTCCAAAAGAAGCATCTATTTTATGTCAAAAAAACACGTTAGAAAAAATCATGTAAACAACTCATTTTGTAACAATCAATAATAAATTGGGAATTTCTTTTGCCACCTTGTGGTCTTGTTTTAGGCCTCTGGCGAAAAACCCAAAATACCTTCAGACTTTGCATATGTAAATGCGAATGTATTGTATTATACAATAACAGATGACTTCACATGTGCATCTGCGAACTAATCCATAATTTGTCAAAAACAGGGTGACTTCGCATGTGCATCTGCGAAGTTACCTATAATTCCTCCTTTCGCATGTGCACATGCAAAGTCTGTGAATTGTATTGAACTAAACGAATAGAACATACCCTCAAACCCTTTTCTATTCAAACACCAAAACTCCTTATTTTCTTCTCCAAACTATAACATTTCTACTACCCAAACTCACTCATTTTTGCTTCTCTCTCCATTTTAACTCTTTTCAAGTCATCCCAAATCATCTCCAAACTTTCAAATTTGTGTAAGTTTTCTCCAAATTAATTTGATTCACAATACAATCTTGTAATAGTTTATTATGTTAGTTTATAAAAATTACATTGTGTATGTTGATATTAGAATAGTTAAATGTAGTTGCTTGGGTGACAAAAAATGACATTTGAGTGTTTTGGGGCAAGAAGCAGCAACTTTGAAAATGGTTGTGCGCAAGGGGTTTTGCATGTGCACTTGTAAAGTCACTCTAGACCAGTTTCGCATGTGTACATGCAAATTCTTGCCTGATTTATTTTATTTTTAAAACTTAACAATTATAATTATTTATTTGAGGAACATGGCTGACAACAGGACCTGAGCAGGCAGTTGAGACAAGATAGGCCAAGCTAGACTGCCTCGGCTCATCAAGAGAGAGAGAGAGAGAGAGAGAGAGAGAGTTGAGTAACAGGTTAACCGACCTCGAGGACGTGGTCGGGTACAAAGGGAGAAATTGGATGTAGCTTCCCCTTATTGAGGATTCGTATGCACCAAGGGTCCACCTCTCGTGCGTATGAGCAGGTACTTGATGAGGCGGAGGTACCTGATGAGGTGGAGGTTCCAAAAGAGTTTGCGGTGTATGAGGGGGATGAGGTACTCGAGCATGTTGCGGTACCCGAGAAGGTGGATCAAGACTATTCATGAGGGCCATATGACACCTCAATCTTGATTTACTATCATGATCATATCGCTCGGTATGTTTGGGAAGAAGAGGTATATTTTTTGTTGCACTTTTTCATTTTATATTTTTTACTCAAAAATACGATTGTAATGATTATTACTTTTTTGTTTAAGAAATGATTGCCCATAAAGTATGTTAATCACTTGCGGAAATTTTTTTATTTGTTTAAACATGCGACTGAGTGGTTCCATGATGCTGTGCTTGGATCTGAACTTGCCAGATTATACTGTACATGTGGCATGCATGGGACTTTTGCTGAGAGGTAGCACAAAGAGACGCCATTTTTTCATTTTTCTATTGGGGGGATGACCATCACACTTGATGATGTTTCTTGCTTGCTCTACCTATCTATCAGAGGCAGGTTACTCAACCATCACAAGATAACACGAGCTGAGGCGGTTGAATGGATGGTTGAGTATTTGGGAGTTGATATGTTCATGGCATCTGAGGACTGCAGAGCCACTAATGGGATGCATGTAAAGTTCTCCCACCTGAAGGATCTATATGAGGAGCACCTGGTTGCAGCAGCAGGTGCACAGGATGAGGAGGACAAGGTTTTTGTTTAGTATCACTGAGACTGTGATATGCAGTGTTACTATATGTTCTTGATTGGCACGTCCCTGTTTATGGACAAAAGTGGGACCTATACGGATGTGACATACCTCCGGTATTTTATGAAACTGACTACAATTTGTGAGTGGAACTGAGGGGCGTCTATTTTGGTATATCTCTATCAGAAGCTGAATGAAGCTTCAAATTGGAAGACGAGACAACTCACTGACTCATGCACACTCCTCACGGTACCTTTCATTTCAACTATTAACTTTAATTTGTTTTGATTAATTTGTACTTACATATTATGTTATTGTTTTCGCAGAGTTGGATCATCTCTCACTTCCACTAGATTCATGATTTTGAATCAGATCCGGTTTATATTGACGACATGCCAAGGGCTGCAGAGCATGTCATCCACATAGGGAATCATAAAGTGTCGCCTTACTGGGTGTATCTTAACCGTACTAATCATGATGACATCAAATGGACGCCATTTGAGGATTACACGGATGTTGTCTCATTCGATTCCATCTCATTATACTCTGGGTGACTAGCACGTGGGTCGAATCTTATGGCCAGGTATCTTCCAAATAGGTGTATCCGACAATTTGGCTATGTATAAATGATACAAAGATCTCCTTTTCAGGCTGCTTCCGACACTATTGTCCGACGAGATCTTGATGCCATCTTTCAGAATTGGGAGAATCATTTGGTGGCACAAGAGTATCGGATGATGCTGATATCTAAGAGTTGGCATTGTGTAGAGGTTATGTGACATGGTTCTTTAACGTGTCACACCCTATCATGACACCTGATGGTCCTGGACGTCCGCCTAGGTCAACTCATGAGGAGCTCTTGGAGAACCAACAGGTTGAGGATGACCATGCCACTGATCTCTTGCCGTTTGTTAGGAGATACACCTACTTGACCAGGAGGCATTAGATTCCAGTATCATCGAGATGGGTAGTCCTGAGGCGGTTTCCATAGTTGGGAGGGTGGTAAGTGAGACATCTAGTTCAGCTAAGTACAATCGATATAGGAGGTCACAGGGGGTCAGAATCAGGCATACGCAATAATCTATGTTATATTTTTGTTTTTTGTTGTTGGTGTAATATTTTGACCGTACTTATTTTGCAAATAATTTATATACAAAATTATGTATGAACATCTAATTTAATCGTTATGTCCGTATTGATATGCTCGTTTTATATTTTCGAAAAAAATCGTAAAAAATTAATCCGATTATAAAATAGTGAAATGATATAGTTTTAAATAAAAATGACACACATAGAAGAAATTTCACATACGTACATCCAAAACTTTTTTTCAACCGATTTTACATGTGCACATGTGAAACAATCTCAAAAATATTAAAAAATAATTTTTTCACGAAAAACATCTTTGAATTTTCAATATTGAAAATCACCAACTATTAAATATAAAAAGAAAATTCCTAATAAATTTTCGAGATGCCGTGTATAAACGTAGGACGGTGATCTAACGCAAAAGCATCCAAGAGCGTGTTTGGCTGTACAAGAACATATTCGCGTTTTAGCGATTCCAAAAGCGCGTTTTTGAGTCAAAAAACGCGTCCCCAAACAGACACAAATAGGAAAGTGGATACAGAACATTCTAGAAGTAGAAAAACAACGCAACCTTGGCTGTCGCTTTTTCTCTCTCTTTCTCACCTTATTATCCCTTTCCCCTGACCCAAATCAAATCCAATTCTTCTTCGATCAAACCCTTTTCAATTTCAACTTTCTCCCTCAATTCTCACCTTCCGAATCCTTGGTTTCAGCATGGCTTCGAAGCGTATCCTCAAGGAACTCAAGGATTTGCAGAAGGATCCCCCTACCTCATGCAGCGCAGGTGAAACTGAAACCCTAATTTTCTTTACCCCTTTTGTTGTTGTGTTTTTGTTAGTGATTCTTAAATCTTAAGGATCTGTTATCTTAGGAGTTTTTGGGATGATTAGGATTTTTAGGGTTTCAAATTATCGATAAGAATATTATGGTTTATGAAGTTAGGTGTGTTGATGATTTAATCTTAATAACTTTGTGTGTTTGTTATGATTTTTAGGTCCTGTTGCTGAGGATATGTTTCACTGGCAAGCAACAATTATGGGCCCTGCTGATAGCCCTTATTCAGGTGGTGTGTTTTTGGTTTCGATTCATTTTCCTCCGGATTATCCATTCAAGCCACCAAAGGTAATTGAACCTTTACTTGTTTCTACGTTAGTTGCTTGTTTGTTTTGTCTGTTTTTATGATGTTTATAATTTATTGTGATTTGTTTGTTTGTTTGTTTTTCAAATGCTTCAAGGCAGATCTTGTCTATATGTACTTTGTAGCATGATTGTTTCTTTTTTGTACGAGACAAGTGTTTGTTAATCCGACCATGACCATTTTTGTTGTTGTTTCTAGTGAGTGTGTTATTTTTGAATAAATGCAAGCGCGAGGTTAAAGGAAGCCAAGCTTGTATTGCACATTAAATATGAATAGATATATTGCATATTTGCTCCCCTAAAAATATCGATTAGACTCCGCAATTCAAAATAAGTTTGCACCTTCACATTGTGGGCTTGTGCTGCTTGTGCCTCTTGCCCTCGAACACGCTTTTATATTTGTCTTTTGTTGTAGCATGTGGATATTTACTAGCTTTTGCTGTATTGGAAGGTAGAAAACATCACATGGTTATTGGTTCTGGTTGGTTATAAATCTGATTATTTGTCACTAATTCACAAACTTCTATTGGCGTCGGAAAAACTAACAGAGAAGCTGTTAGATGACTTTTCATTTCAATTATATTTTGCCTTTCATTTTCTTCTTTCCTCATCAAATCGTATTGTTCTCTTTCATTTTCTTCTTTCCTCAACAGTTGACAGTTAGTTATCCAGTTTAATTTGTTCACAAGTTATAAATGTTGTTTTATTGCCTGTTAATCAATTTTGTAAATATCTTGTACCATGTATTTAGTTAAATAGTCTAAACATGCTAAAGTTATTTTAATACTGCAGGTTGCATTTAGGACTAAGGTATTCCACCCAAACATCAACAGCAATGGAAGCATCTGTCTTGACATTCTAAAAGAACAATGGAGCCCAGCATTGACCATTTCTAAGGTTTGATTTTACTTGTTATTCTTGATAATTGATGATTATGTATCAAGTTTTAGCTAAATGTGACACCTGGATTGTGTTGTGTTGCCTTTTAGAATGATTTGCAAATGTGAAAAATATTGGACAAATGTGTTGTCACGTTTTGAGCTAATTTACTTGCATTTGCCAATATTGGACAAATACAAATTCTGACTATTAAATGTGTTCGCCTACTGAAATTTACAATCACAAACTTTGCTAATTGTTTGGAAATTCAATTGAAGCATAAAGTTTAATCAAGGAATGAGGCTTATTTTCACATATAAAATTTGTCTATCCATGACTTTTTGTACTCTTATCATTTCTATTGTTACTTACTGATGTAATCTCATCGATGTTTTTATGTGTTTCATACTACTTGTGCTGGTTTTAATTTTTTTTTGGGAAATTTGAAAATCTAGAACAAAAAAAAATGATATTTTTAAAACACAGAAGAATTGTAATTCTTTTTAGAAGATTTTTTTCGTAAGAGAAAAATTAGGTCACTAATATTTCAAGTGCAGAAGTGGCTAATATAAATATCTATTCATTCTGTTGACTAGAGATATAGTTTGTCATCATATAAGCTGATTATACGATTCATAGAAATTTACTGCTAGAAATTGAATGTGTTATTTTTCTCCTTGTTTAATGAGCTTCGTTTGGAATGATGATGATGTCTGCTGTTGATCTAAATCTCACAAAATAAACCTAACATTCACTATTTTAGGTCCTTTTGTCAATTTGCTCGTTGCTGACGGATCCAAATCCCGACGACCCTTTGGTGCCTGAGATTGCACATATGTACAAGACCGACAGGACCAAGTACGAAGCCACCGCACGTAGCTGGACACAGAAGTATGCCATGGGATGACCAAATCATCCTCTCAGCCGTTTAATGCAACCATGCACCGTGATTTTATGTAAAACCAAAGATATTTTGAATGATTGTTTTTGTTATTGTTGTCAATGGAACTCAACCATTGCAAGCGAAATTAATTGTCATTTGTGAATATTCACGAGACATTTGGTGCAAACTTTCTGGTTGTTTACATGCTATTCTCAACGATAAATGAAAATTTTAATTACCAACAAGGTAATTGCTGCCTGATTATTCAAGTTTGGTACTCCTTAATACTTCTTCTGTTTCACAATGACTGTTTTAAACCGTTTACAAAAATCTTAAACTGACAATCATTTTGAAATCGAGGGAGTAATGTTTTTGGTTTACATGTTCAATTTTTTGTTCTATGATCATATATTCAAGTCATTTTAGTTATGATGAAGTTGTCATTCCTGAGGTTGATTTATGTTTGTGTATATATTATCTGAACATAAAGAATCCATCTTGAGTCAAGATTCTTGGCCACCTTTTTTAGTCAGTCCAAGCTGCAACAGGCACCAGCTTTGACTGAGACCATCCTCAATTCTGCCACTTTGATGTCTACTGCTTAGGTTCCTTTGTCTTGGCCTTAGATTTATGGGGTTGGTCAGTATACGAACTTCTAAGGAGCTCTATTATTGCATATGCCGCTGATTCCGAAAACAATGTAAGTATTAGAGGCTCATGGAAAAATGTTCCTTTCATGTAAGTGAAAGCTCATTCTTTGCAGTTTTGATTTTGACATTGGGCGTGTTTTGTGCATCTCCAATGGAGGTTGCTTAATGCATACTAGGGTTTATAAATTTCATACCTTAGTATTTTGACCATTGGTGCAGATACACATGGTGTCTCTGTTGTTTAAATATTTGTGTAAGTTACATCATAAAACAATCTAAAAATTACATTGCTTAGTATTAAATGATATTAATTTTGATAAATGGTGAAGTCAAATATAAATTTATTGGACCAGTATTAAATGATATTAATTTTGATAAATGGTGAAGTCAAATATAAATTTATTGGACCATATATAGATTACTTATTCAAATCACTGATGGAGTAAAATTGGTGTAGATTGCTTAGGTGTTATTTAAATGTAATGGGACAATTGGTCCCATATAAAATAACTCAAGCAATAAAAAACAAGTTCTTCTATTGGAGATGCTCTCAGTGCACTCTTCTCTTTCTCTTAGGATCTGTGCGAAATTTAAAAAATGTTATTTATTTTCGGAGATGTATTTTTGAACTACATTTTATCCACTAAATACTTGAATTTGAAAATGTATATTCGACTAAACCTTATTTAAAAATCAAATAAAATTAAATTAAAACTACAATTTTTTCGGATCTTTTCAAAAATATGAAAACGGAAAACAAATCAAATAAAATAGAAAAATAAAGGCTAGAAACACATGACTAGAACGCGGTGATACAATTTATATGACTTTAATATTGGTAAAAATTGATAGAGAATTCTCGACAACGGCGTCAATTTCAATGAAAATGTGTATTAAATGGACTCAAAAGTGTTTTCAGATATGTATTTACAAATTAACTTGGGGCGAATTCGAAAATGCTTATCCGAATCAATTTATTATTTGTTTTGTGAAAGGCGAATTATATATGCATTTTCGAATTTATCCAAAGAGATTTTTAAAATTTTAAAGACACGTCTCATATAATAAAGATGAGATGAAAAATTGACTTCTAATAATAATACAGTTGCGTTATTTCTCGAATAATGATAGAAACGGAAAAGTCAATTTGGTTTTTTTGTTCTTCCTAAGAGAATCGGGTGTGATAGTTGTTTTAAGGAAATTGAAAGTGGAATTTTAGTATGCATGAGAAACGTGAGATATTTTGAAATTTAAGGAGGAAAATAGATTATTAAAGTGAAAATTGTGTATGATGTTCTATACAGAAAAAACTAGTTGATAATTTTTTTATAGTTAGGCACTGCACCGGCTAACAGGTAGCTACTTTCTCTAAATTGGTATCAAATAATTCTTCCCTATAATAAATTTAACGTTAATTACTACTGAGTTAATTAATGATAAGTAATTATGATACACTTAATGCAATAAAAAATGTGCTTAAAGATTGATTTCGTTGTAATGAAACAAATTATCAATTTAAAAAATGTGTACTTTGGAGTTGAATGTAAGGAACACAATTCATGATTTATGATATTTAATGTATACAAACGAACACTAACTAATTTCACACATTAATTAAATATAACAACCTACTAAGAAGAAAAAAACATCCAAGTGTTAATAAGTTTTTGGCGCTTAAACATGTTTGAATGACTATATCATGAGTCTTCACTAATTCATATAGGTCCAATGTTCATTGCCCTATACGTAGTAATCACTCTATATGAATTTTCAAATATGTTCTCCACATTGTATGAATTTTGAAATCTGGGCATATCAGTTATACAACAACTCTTTTTTAACAGAATGACATCTTCATTCAAGTAAAAAACTAGTCCAAATTTTAATCTCCAGAACTCATTCTAAAAACAATATTGTCTGTATATTTTGCTTAAACATATGGATGGATTCAAATTTCAAAATTTGGACACACTCTTGGATAAAATTTTATGTATTGTTTGAGTTTATATTTCAAAAAAATAAGATAGATTTGAATTTCAATATTCTGACACACTTTTGGACAGTGTTATGAGTCTCTTGAGAGTATTTAGAAAGAAAGTGCTTTTATTATTGACACACTAAATCATACACATAAGTCAAACATAACTAATATCAATATTTCATAAACTAATTCAAAAATTATATATCAATCATGAATTTTCAGTTGTCTAGAAGCATAAGCAACAATTCGACCATTTGACATCAGCACACCACCAAGACTCATCTTCGATGCATCACAATACACTACAAAAGATTCATTCAGATTTGTTAGCTATAATTTCGACGCTCCAACAAATAGAGGTTCGAGGAGAATTCGAAAGAAGAATGTTGGGATGATAAAAGCCAATTTCGATTTGAAGTGATAGAAGACACGTTTTCGAACGAGTCTACAAGGGATGAAGCATTGCAAGGCGAATGACTTAGCAAATTTTCTGAAGATACTCGAGGCCAGTTCGACAGATATTCAAATGAAGCTATAACTGATTTTAACCCTCATTTGATCTTTGAAAAAGAGATACGTAGAAGCCTGTGAAAGGCTAGAGAGATGCAAACAAGGAGGTGTCATCCTTCAAGAAGAAGACTGTTCATGATAGTTAGTTTCGAATTATTATATATAGGTTTTTTATGTTAGAATTCCGTGTGTTCACTTCTTTGTACAAATTACTCAAAATAACTAAAAGTACCAAGTGTTCGAAAAATGAGTTGCTGAGAATGTACGCATGAAGCACCAATTTTATATTCAATGTCATTCCTTTTCAATTTAAGTCCTTTACATTCCTTTTAATTTTAAGGTAAAATATCTTTTTTAGTCCCTTAACTTTACCTCCGGGTCCATTTTGGTCCCTTATCTTTAAAAAGTTTCAAAGTGGTTCTTTAATTGTTCAAAAAGGACCACATTTATCCTTTTCGTCTGGACCGTTAATCAAAGTCAATGGTAGAGCTTATGTGGCATTGCACGCGTTTACATTTTCATCCAGGTGGATTAAAGTATCTTAAAAAAAGGGTTAAAACATTGCATGGGTTAAAGGATCAGATTACATCTCTAACACTTTGAAGGAAATCCTAGGGCAGCCATCGTTGGTAGCTCCATTGTGCGAAGAAGCTGCGAGTGAAGCGAAGGCACATTCCGTTCTTGAAGGTGAAATTGACCATAACATTGCTCATCATAGGTAAGTTTCTGCAAAACCATGATTTTCGTAGTTAGGGTTTTTTGAAATCAATCTTTCTGAAATCTAATATCTTTCTGTCCATTTAGGACATAGTCTGAAATGGATGAATATCTGAACATCTGAACATCTGAACATTACAATACACCATAGTGGCGAATTTGTTACCGAGGACATGAGTGTTTACGAAGGAGGTGAGATTGCTGATTTGAGAGTAGATGTTGATAAATTGAGCTATTTTGAATTGATAGGCACTATTAAAGAGCTAGGTTACACATATGTAGAGAATATATATTATATGAATCTTACTGCTGGGATAAATATGTTGGTTGATGACAAGGGGGAATTAGAGATTACTGATCTATATAGGGTTCATCTTAGTGTTGAAGTCTTTATTCAACACACATTATTAAAGCCTGATTATGCTAATAAGACTGATGTTGTGTTAGATGAGGTACCCCTTAATGTGATAGTTGATGAGGCAGAAGTTGTGCTTGAAGAGATGTTGAATGAAACTAATGGAAAGGAAGATGGTGTTAGGGAAAATGATGTCAGGGAAGATGATGTTAGCATGGATGGTGTTAGGGAAGATGATATTATGGAAGATGGTGTTCATGCAGTAGGAACTGATGATAATGTGCCAATGGTTTTGATGAGGTTGAAAGTGATGATATTGGATATAGGGATGGTGAGGTTAATGATGCTGTTAGACTAACTGATGATGATGATATCACCGTCAACTATGATAGTGCAACAGAGGTAGTATTTAATGATGACCCTGATGAGTATGACACTAATTTGGAAGAGGAATAGGGTAACCTAATTAACTATGAACACATGGAAAGTAAAAAAGGTAAAGAAAAGTGTGAAGCAAACAAAGAAGATAGCAAAGGAAGTGATAATGAAAGTGATGATCTAGGAAGTGACTGTAATAGTGATGATAGCAGTAGAGTTAGGAGAAAGAAATATCCAGTTTTCAATCTTCAAAAGGATATGGCCAATTACAAATGGGAAGTGGGAACCTACTTTAGTACAACATAAACTTTCAAGGAAGCCATTACCTCTTATGCGGTCCAATCTGGCAGAAATTTAAAGTTCATTAAAAATGACAAGACCAGGATTAGGGTTAGGTGTAAGGAAGGATGTAAATGGGAATCCTATTGTGCTA